AGGCAAGGCACATAATGTGTTTTATGGAATATCGTGCAAAATAGAAGTTTAACAAGAGGGCTATTATTAAAATTCAAAGAAAGAGACAGCCCTTCCATCCACTGCCCTCTGATGTAGTATAGAGCACGGAGTGAGGAAGAGGAGAAGGAGGAAGAGCAGGATAGAGATGGCGAGGTATCATCAGGTTGAGCCATGCATTCTTTAGGTCAGCACAGCGACCAGGCCAGCACCATGCAGTATACATCAGCTTGAAGCCAACTTTAACCAAACCAAAACCTAGCTGTCACTCTGAAATTTGAACTCCTTGTAGTCACCAGTTTACATAATTCGACCTTAATCCCAAACCTCTGAAAAGGACAAGGAAAAAACAAGACAAGTATCCAGACAAAATATAAAGCAAATTTTGGGTGCCTGACTGCATATGTACAGAGTCCATAGATAGTGGTCCAAAAATATTCAAATTCTTGGTGGCACAAAATCATACGAGAGACACTTTTACATGGGTTAAAAAGAAGTCGTAAGCAGGGGGAAAAGGCACACTCATTCCAATACTGACTGACACTAAAATGTATAAATCAAAAGAGACAAGAGGAAAAATAAGAAAAACTGAAAAGTAAATGAGGAAAGAAAGCATCAGAGTGGAGATCCTGTTCCACATCTGAACTGCCACACAAAAACACACAGCTGCTTTACACACATGTGGTTGGTGCATGTTGTAAGAAACACACTGCAAGTTGCAAAACAGTGGTCTTTCACTACTGTTTGCTGCATCTTAAAAGGTATTTTTGTTATCCCAAAAATGTTTGCTCACTGCTTTCTGCCCAGAACAATATTTTCCTACAGTGAAAACCTCTGAATGATTCCAGCATTTCAACCAGCTCTCCTGTGCTGCCTCTTCAACGTATGTGAAGTCCATACCATAAGTATTTGGACAGTAACACATTATTTATTCTTCAGGCTCTTAGCTTCATCACATATTAATTGAAATCAAATTTTGAATCCAAACTTAAAGCACCAAGGCCCACCTTTTCTTTGACCAGGTTTACACAACCACAGAAACAACTGTTTGAGGAATATAACCTTTTTAACATAGTGCTGAAACTTTAAGGTTAAAGAATTTTTCGGCCCTCGACGTTCAACCTTTTGCTTCTGTCAGCAAAGAAATCCTCAAAAAATGCCAGTAGACTGTGCCAGACACAATGGCAGCCACATGACATGGCAAAAGCAAACAGAAGCACTGCCATGCTTGACAGATGGTATACTTTGGGTCATGACCTTTGCTTTTTATCTTCCACATTTTACCGTTTCATTCATTTTGACAGAGCCTGAGTTTTGATTCATCAGTCCAGAGAACTCTGGTACAAAACTTTGCATGTCTCTTTTTGCATGTTTGTGCCACTGCAGCCAACCGTTTTTGTGTTTGAGTTTTCCAAGGGTTTGCATCTTATTGTGAATCGTCTGAGGTTCTACTCATGAAGTTTCCTCCTGATATTTTACAAAGAAACATGTAGGCCTGCACCCTGAGAGAAGTCTTGACTTGGTGTTTCGTGACAAAGAAGTTTGTCTTGATGTAAACCTACAAAAATCAAAGCTATAAAGATTTGGCTCTTTGAAGTAGTGTCTGTTTTTAAATTGCATATTAAATGTGTTGAAGCACAGAGCCTGAAGCCTTTAGTTCCTCCCTTGAAGACCTTTTTTACTCCAGGCAGATAGATGACATTTGTGGGGTAACGAAAACAGCCAGTTAGCAAGTTAAAGAACAATTTTTTTGACTTTTCTCTACTGTTTGTATACAGAATGCAAATGAACAAATTATGGAGTAACATCCACTGATGCAGAAACACTCCAGCAGACAATTTCCTGTGAATAAGTTATTCCAAAATTTACTTGGCATTCAATCTGATTTGATGCACACAGAAACACCAGACCTTTAGCAGATTACATCAACAGGCAACAAACGTCAACAATCTGCTTTATATTTGTGAAGCCTTTGCGATAAATTATGGTACAGATTATAAAATAGAATTTCTTAAAAATCTCACTTATATTCAGTGTTTTCATCTCTAGAGCAAGAGATGAGATGGTGTAAAATATACCAAAAGGCCATGGTGCACATGTTCTACTGTTGTTGCTTTTGGAGTTTGCATTGAATTTTACATCACAAATATCAATAGCGATGTTTTTAATAATTTAATTCTCGTTTTTAGTTTGTTGTTTCAAAAACTCACTTTTTGTTCCCACAATAAATGTAGTTTTGAGATTACTTACTACAAAGAGGAATTCATGTTTAGATTCAATTAAATTCTAACCATGTTAAATATTTCAGAAGATTTTACTCAATGTTAAAATACAGCATGTCAGATTTTAAGATAATAAATGCCATTCAAAAGATTATTGAAAAACTGAAGCTGTAAAAAGCCAACCATAACAAAGTATTGCTTTGCCCCAATAAAGCACAGTAATAATGCAAAAGATTGCATCAATGTTGGACACAAAAAAGTCGAGTTGATAACCTTCCAGCTCGTTTTAAATGCTAAAGTTTTTGTCCACCTCTGATAAATAATCAAGATTTGCTCAAAACCAATCTTTCAATGAACTGTCACACCTAGCCTGAACTCCGAGTCACACTGGACTGCTGCAGTTTCTCCACACATCGTTCAGGTTGGGTTGGGGTTGAGCTATCCCAGAGGAAAATCTTACTGTTCAAAGCTTGCTCTTTCATAGCTCGGGAGACAAAATTGTGATTGGCATTTCAGCCTTGTTTTAGCTTTGCTTTTTTCTGATATGTTTCTCATATTTTCCTCCTGAAATTCAGTAGGAGAAATAGGTAAGTAAGGATGAGGACAATAAGCAACAGGAGTCAAACTTGAGACCTAATGGAGATCCCTTCCCAGCCTCGACTATTGGCTCCATTTTTTTCTCGGCTGAGCTACATGTGAACTATATATGAGCTTTATTTTAAACAAATATATTGAAATAACTGTACTGAGTTATACTGAGAGGTCTTGTTTTGTGAACTCTATTTCATACATATAGTGCTGAACCAATTTATTATTTATCCAGCATCATGAAGTGCTTTAATGCGGACTCTTCCATTTTCACTGAGCTCTCTACATTTTCCCACTTTGAACAGAAATGAAGAATTTCAAACTGAATTCACCTTTTTAGACCCAGATTTGAGCCGGCTCACTGGGTCAAGTCAGAAATTAATCAAGTGTAACATTCAACCACTATAACATTTTTTTCTGTTCAGGAATGCAAGTAAATAACTATAATTTGACATCGTAATTAATAAATACATCTGTGTTTTGTAAAAAGTAAATTTGAAAATTCATGGATAACAATAATAATTATATTTTAGCATAGAAGATATAATTTCATTTAAAGGGTTTCTACATACTGGTGTATTAACTATTACAGAAACATAAAAGATTTAGGACAGCTGTGGTATAAACCTTACAATGGGTGGTGGTCTAATAAATTATTTAAGTAAGTAAGTCTGGAGAAACATAACAGCATTTGCACACTGTTTGTGTGTGTGCATGCGTGCGTGTGTGTGTGTGTGTGTGTATCACATGTAGAAGCAATGGAGCTCGTAGTCGAGGTTGGGAAGGAATCTCCATTAAGTCTCAAGTATGACTCCTGTTGCTTATTGTCCTCTTCCTGTCTCACCTCTTTCTCCTAGTGAATTTTAGGAGAAAAATATGAGAAACATATCAGACAAAATTGAAAGTCAAACAAGGCTAAAATGAGAATTACAATTTTGTCTCCCGAGCTATAAAAGCCCAAGCTTTGAGCAGCAAAGTTTTCCTCTGAGACACACTACAGAACCTGTCAGGGACCACCACTCATTCTAGAGCTGGACAAGACACCTGAATTTTGTTCTCAGTTCAAGTCAGTATGTACATGACCTGGTGATTAGCATCAACAACTTCAAAAAAAACAAACACACTCTACAAACATAACGTTCCATATCACCACAAAGTTCCTCGAAAGGAAGGAATTTAAACTTAAACATAGCGTAGTGCCTTTTTTGTTTGTTTTTTTAAATCTCTCTCTCATCTACCTACATACAAGTACAAATCCTGTCACTGGGTTCTCTCAGACACAAACAAAATCTGCACAGCATCTCCTAAAAACAGCATGGATTAGTATGGGACCACATTCACATTTTGACACACACACACACACACACACCCACACCCCACCCCCACATACACATTCACACAAACAAACACACACATGCTCAAACATTAGGGCTGCTACTAACCATTATTTTCATTGGCAATTAATCTGCTGATTATTTCCTAAATCAATTGATTCGTTGTTTGGGCTATACAAGATCAGAAAATGGTGAAAAATGTTGATTCGTGTTTGTCCAAGCTGAAGACGATCAAGTCTTGTTTTGTCCAAAGCCGAAAGCTATTTAGTTTACTATGACAGAAGTGGAATAACTAAAAATATTACCATTTAAGTAGCTACTAATTTAATAGTTGACTAATCAACTAATTATTGCAGCTCTAACACACATACATGAATGCACCATACCACACCAAGCTTCAATTTCACAACTCACTGTTTTCAGAAGCCAGCGTGTGGCTGGCCGCACTGTCACCTTTGTTCTACATGTCTTTGCCTTTTCTAAGTTCTACTGAGAATTGCATTGTTTTCTTGTGACAGGTGCAACTCAAAATAGTGTACCTTTGGCAATTTGGAAAAATGCTGTCATGGCCCTGTCAGGCACCCCAACCCAGTAGTAGTAAAACTGGGCCTAGCTCTATAATAGTATCTAACTGTAGCACTGCATGTTGTGTTGGAGGAGGCATGAATATAGCTCTTATATTCCATTCTTACTCTTTTTTTTCTGGTAAAAAGCACAATCAAACAGTCTAAAAAACATTAGCCTCGCAAAGCAACTTAATGGTATTAGGCAGATGATTGTCAATAAAAAAGACAAAGCCTCTGTCTTTTGGTGGGAAGAGACAAAAAAAAAAGCGCTGTTTCAGCTCGTAATTTTTTCAGACATATCAATAACATAGTCAAAAAGTGCAAAGAAACATTAGATATTAACAGGATCTCTCAGAAAATAAGGGAGGCTTATTTGCATATATTATAAGCAGCACCTGCAGGGGAGAGGGGCATTCTGGGTGTTAACAGGGGGGTGAGGTTTATATAGGCATTGTACTGGATTTAGTGTCGAGACCCAGGGTACAGGGGTAAAGGCTGACATCCATCCCAGTTAAACAGGCCCTTCCTGGGGACACAGCTGGGTTACAGGCTTCTTAGGATGTGGTATATTGATGGCTGGTCCTGGTCTGTAGTTCGTTTGGCCCAACCAGAATTCTGCAGCAATCCATTGCTTATACTTGAAAATCACAACTCACGCCAGTGGCCATTTCTGACAGCCATGTAGCATCATATGGCATAGTTCATTCTGGAGCTATAAAATGGCTGAGTAAGGGCAGCACCCATCTTCCATCCAGGTGGTCTCTTCTGGCTACAAACACATGTATAAATATATTATGATATATATTTATAGATATGTATGACCATGCGTTAGGTTTCTACAAAGCTGAATATATTTTTCCTCTGGGAACATCTTCACAACATTTTCTCCTTTCCTCCAGGACAGCACTGTCATGACAATCACCTTTCCTCCAGAGCTCTCTCAGTTGCCCAGATACCAAGACTAGAACAGAGACAAAGACAAAATTTAAATTTACAAGTTAGAATTGCAAAACCTCAGCCTGCATTTCTCTCACAGAAAATACTTTTTTGACAATCTTGGATCAGACACTGGTTAATAAAACTTGTGCATGAACAGCTCTATAAGCAAATATAAATTAAGTTTTTCATGAATGTACAATAAAAAAAAAAACTTTAACCTTATATCAGGATGTTAGAATGAATGTCAAACCTGCCATCAAAGCTAGTGCACATGTATGTAAAACATCTTAAGGAATGCTTGTTTGCTCTACCCCGTTCTTGTAGACTGTACACTAACTGTTTATCCACATAAATACCATATTTAAGTGATGGGCTCATTTATGAACAGTGTTGACACACTTTATTAAAGTAATATGATCTTATAAATTTCATCTCAAGTGAACATCAATAGAAAACGGACAACCTGATTTTCACCCCAGCACTTAGGAGAGTATGCCACAAATTTGTGTTGTGGTGCTTTATGTTAACTTCACGACTGTTTCCTCATCATGCAGCTTAGCTGTGGACACTCATCTCATCAGCAATTAGTCTGCAGCTTAATCTACAACTGGCTATTTTCAGCAGTGACCCTTATAGTGATCTTGACTGTCAGTGACACTATCATTAGGTCAAGGTACCTGGTACCATTGCATTCTGTCTGTGTGACTTTTTTAGAAAGGCATTTTGCTTCACTCTTGAATCCAAACTGTAATAATTCATGCAAGTACAAATCATGTCAAGTCAATCACTTTAAACAATAAATTTCAGTCATTAGTATCACTGTCTTTACATACTTCCATTTGATCAAAAAACTCATCGCTAGAAGGGTTGAGAAATTTTGGCCTGTGCCAAAGTTAGGGAAAGGTGGTAAAGTCTATGGTCAAAGGATGCTGCACAAAATGCTCAACATAATGACACTACTTCACATCCCCTGCATAATCTACTAACCAGACAGTGTTTTCAGTTGCAACCTTGCAAGCTTCTTCAACTCTGCCTTATTAAGGATGACTACAGAAAGTCATTCCTCCCCACTGTAACATTACTGTTCAAATTCAGCTGTAATTTGCACTACGTGTTTTCATCATATCTGATTTTTTTTTTTTAAAAAACCTTTTTATTATTCTTGAATTGTTCACAAAAAAGGAAGAGGGACGGAGCAAATTTCTCCAAACTAAGAATGCGCTGGCTCAGCACCTCCAACATCCAATGCACTTTTCACTTGAAGTGGCACCAAATACAGCAAACCATTGTGGTCAAGCATGCCAATTGATCCTTGAACACTTAAGTTCTGGCTGTACTAAATGCTGCTGGGGAAATTGCAAACAATAAAGCCTCCTGAAAGTGCAGTGCCCTGTGTAAATGTGGAGGGGAGGGTGAAAAAGACAGTGAAGAACAGGTTCAAAAACAATTAAACAATCAGATATGTTCGACAGTCTTTTTTTAAGCTAAGTTGCTTAGCAACAGTTTTACTCTTGTAAAAGAAATGATATTATATATACACACATATATATTTATACGTGTGTGTGTGTGTGTGTGTGTGTGTGTGGGCGCGCGCGCGTGTGATTTAGGATGTGTAGTGCAAAATACATAATCTGGTTATGGCTGAAAGTAAAATGGATGCCATAGCCACCAGGAGACATTTTTGCAATGGTTCTAATTCTGAAAAAGTTACAATTGTATTACCATACTGCGAAAGGTGAGCATTACTTGAATGTATCACCTGGATGAGCATGTTTCCCCAATGAAAATCAACAAGAATGTTAAAGGATGATTGAAATTGAAACCCAGACCGAATTTTCATAACATCAATATATTTCTAATAACATAAACCCCTGAGACCTTGTCGCACCATGCATTTGCTTGTGACAAACTTTGGAAATATAGAGAGAGAGGGAGAGAGGACTCATGTCTCAGCAGTATTAACTGAGCTGTTTCTGGAGCAGAGGCACTGCAATGCAGCATCAACAGCAATCCCAACTTAAAACATAACTGTAACTTTTTATCAACACATACTGTACACTGCAATTTGTTTCTGAATGCCAAAACTACCCACTGGTTCCATGCACCTGCTTGAGACTTCCACTACATACGTATATAGCTATAGCAAACTACTTCTCCATCATTCTGTTTAATATACTACATATCTGTAGCCTGCAACTGTCTCACTTACTTCACATTGACAACTGAATTGACAGCTTTGAAAATTAGTTGGGGCAAAGGGCAAAAAACAACTCTCAGAATGCCCCCAAAACTCAAATAATTAAATGGCAAAAAGTTCGACAAGATTTAAAAAAAAGTTTTAAAATTTAAAAAAAAAATCTCTATATTGCATTTATTTACCAGTGTAGGCAAATATCCTAATTTTACATTAAGCCATCGTTTTTTCATCATTAGTCATCATCATCATCATCATCATCATTTTATTATCATTCAATTCCATCTCTAACATGCACTTACACAAACAGTGTTGTTGTTGACGCTGCTCACATGTGTAACCGACTGTCACCAACATGGTTGCATATGCAACAGTTTTTTTTGTTTTTTTTGAGAGTGTGAACGATGGTATGAACGATGATCATTAGTCTGTTTTGGTGCCGCTCTGACCAGCGCAGGCAGCTATTGCAGAGCCATAGTGGTGGAAACTACAACTGTAATTTCTTCCGTTGCCTAGTCAGTCTGTCCCTGTCTGATGTGTAAAACCAGCTATTTAGCTGTTTTGCGTTCCTCAAACAAAACTGAAGAAAGAGAGGGCAGAGAGGGTGAGATCTGACTCAGACACACCGGATGATCAGAGTCAGGTGCCGGCAGGAAGGTAGAGGCGGAACCGTTGAAGTAAAAAATACAATACATTTAATTACAACGGTTAACTCAGTAGCAGGCTGGCAAAATTATTTTTTTGTAAATCACAATAATGCTTTAAGCTTCTAACCACTATATGAATAAGATCGATTTCGGTTTCTACATTTAAAAATGATATGAGATAAACATTACTGTCATATGCGCAGCATGAAAAACAGCAGTTTAACACTGGACAATGAAATTGTCTCGTTTGCACACTCCCATATACATAATAATAAAAATAAAAATAATAATACATATATGTATAAAAACAGACAAACAAACAAAATACATACATATATAGGTACAAGAGAATAAAAAAGAGACAGAAACTCAGGTGCATATGCACTATGGATGGATGCTCTCCGCTCCTAAAAGACGAAGCGTACTTACATGAGCTGTTTCTCCGCTAATGGGAAAAAGTGCATGTGGATAAAAATCACTCGGTTTCATCTTGGACGAATGTAACATAAGAACACTTTATTTCACGATTTTTAAAGTAATTTTTGCTCACACACCTGTCTGAGTGCACTGCAGCCACGCAACAGCATCACCACAGCCTGCACTGAGAGGCATTTAGGGAACATCGGTAAATTTAGTGTCTATCGGTAAGCAAATGGTCAGCGACTGAGGTATTTTGCCTGTGGCCAGGTGGGAGGTGCGACCAACTGAAAAGTTGTCTGGAACCCTGTGTATAATACACAGACTATTTGGCCACTCCTGGTGTTCAGAGCAAGGAAATGCATTTCTTACAGATTGATAAAAACTTAATCAAAGCACTAGAAAAGACTAATTTTATTTTATTGTTTTTTCCGTCCTGTTTAATGGAAAATGCACACGGAGCATTGCAGCAACAAAAACATGATCCATATAAATAGTAAAAAATAAATAAATAAAATAAGTGAAGAGGATGACTTGTCAGGGGTGCAGCCAGATTTGTGAAATATTTTTTTGTATGAACGCTGCAGTTACTGCTGTGTAATCCAGTTAAACTGGTTTCTTTTTGATTATACAGGTCCACAATTTGACTGTCAACATAGTCAAGCAGCTAAATAGTCTATTAGCTCATTTACTTTTGCCAATTTCCCGACACACAGCCTATCCATCCATCCATCCATCCATCCATTTTCTTCTGCTCATCCGGGGTCGGGTCGCAGGGGCAGTAGGCAGAGCAGGTCATTCCAGACTTCCCTCTTCCCGGCAACGCTTTCCAGCTCGTCCTCGGGGATCCCGAGGCGTTCCCAGGCCAGTCGAGAGATATAATCCCTCCAGCAGGTTCTGGGTCTGCCCCAGGGCCTCCTCCCAGGTGGACGTATTCGGAAGACCTCCAGAGGAAGTCTCTCGAATCAGATGTCTATAACTGGCTCCTTTCGACACGCAGGAGCAGTGGCTCTACTCCAAGCTCCCTCCGGATGTCCGAGCTCCTCACCCTGTCTCTAAGGCTGAGCCCAGCCATCCCTGTGGAGGAAGCGCATTTCAGCCGCTTGTATCTGCAATCTCATTCTTTTGGTCACGACCCAAAGCTCATGACCATAGGTGAGGGTTGGGATGTAGATGGACTGGTAAATCAAGAGCTTTGCCTTGCGGCTCAACTCTCTCTTCACCACAACGATCCGGTACAGCGCCCGCATTACTGCTGACGCCACACCGAATCACCTGTCCACTTCACACTTCATTTTCCCATTACTTGTGAACAAGATCCTGAGACACTTAAACTCTCTCTTCAGGAAACAAGCTCCAGTGTGTGCTGAAGGTCACAGTCTGATGGAGCCAGCAGTATCACGTCGTCTGCAAAAGTAGAGATGCGATCCTGAGGTCCCCAAACCGGACACCCTCCTCAACTTGACAGCGCCTAAGGATCCTGTCCATGAAAACCCCAAATAGGATCGGGGACAAGGGAGAGCCCTGGCGAAGTCCAACACCCAGTGGAAACGTACTGACTTATTGCCAAGAATGCGGCAATAAGTCTCTCACTTTGGTTGTACAGGGACCAAATGGCTCGTAGCAGTGAGCCTGATACCCTATATTCCCTCAGTACCCCCTACAGAGTCCCTCGGGGAACACAGTCATAGGCCTTCTCCAGATCCACAAAGTATATGTGGAATGGTAGGTCGAATTCCCATGCCCCCTCAGCAGCTTCACAAG